ATAAAAACAAAACGGAACAGAAATACGACTCCTTACCTGTTTGGCCTTGTCACTGGAGTTTCTGTAAGTGAGTCTCGTTTCGATTCGATTGTGAATACAAAGGGTAATAAATCAAGCGAAACAACTTCAAACAAGCAGAGATGGCGACCAAACAAGGATTTGATCCCCACTTATCTCAGTCCAACTGTATTTTCTATATTCCTGCACGTGTAATCCAATACGGCGAAGCTGCAAGTTGATGCCCACTTTTCTGAGCCCGCCTACCCACAATGCCGTGCGACCCAACCGGAAGTCCAGAACTCCTGATGCATGTATTGGAGACTACACTGACAGACCTCTCATTATCATATTACTCTTTTGGCCTCTACATCATCGTTCGATCAAAACATCTATGGTCACTCCAGAATATAACATTACTGATCATCTACTTGTTCTTTTTTTTGTTATTGACAATGTGATGAGGAATTATACCTGGAAATTATTTTCGTGAAACTGCTCACAGACAGGATTTTAGAAGAAAAATAATGAATAATGTGTTTTAACCGGCATAGCCTTCGAGTCAATTCATCACTGGAAACTTTAGCCTGAGAATGCAGACAGATTTCCAGCTGTATTTTGTAGTGACGTGAAACTACAACTCAAAATGTTTTGTTTAGTTTGATTATTTTTCTCCTGGCCCAGTGCTTCTTGTACTGTCTTCAGAAATATGACCTGTCTAGACATTTTTCCTGACTTTTTCTTTTATTTAGTAAGATGATCTTGCATAGATCCATGGAAAGTAAAGAAAAAGTGTTAATAAAAGATTTAGACTATAAGTATTTTGTTACTGGTATACTTGGGTATCAGCTCTAGAAGCATAATTTCAAGTGAGGTAGATATACTCCCACATAACAACAGACTTGGGAAATAGTTTCCTTATATACTTACCTCTGAGGAGCAAATGAAGCAATTATTATTTACCAACGAAAAACTTACACCCGAATAGCTTCGGCAATCGAAGCATGTACAGAGTAGCTTATGCGAAATGTTTGAATCTACACTGATAGTTGGAATATACGGACCCATATGGAAACAGTTACTCCAGATTTCGAGTGTTTATTGACCAGTTTAAAAGGCGTCCTTATTACCATTTTTTTGGGGGAAGATTGAACGGTATAGCTGAACCTTGACAGAATATTTGTCCTCTCATTGAGAAGCGATTTGGTACCTTTAGGAACTCTCTCTTTAAGTCGTAAGCCGTTATCAAATAAGCTTCAATGTCGCTGTCCAGGTTCGAAGTAAAAATGTTCAAATCGCCGAGTCACAAGCCTTAGCGTTCTGTTCCCAATTCGGAGATATTTTCCACCTATATATAAAAGCCATTGTTTTGATTCTGAGTTTTTCTTAAAGGTATTGTTTTCAGTGGAAGGCTCCTGTAGAATCTTGCGTCAGCCCAACTGGCTATAAACGTAGTATGGGTGTAATATATTTCTTAGGCAATTTTGTAGGCTTAAACTGTGTTCAAGCCCCTCTCAAGTCCAAACATTGACATAAAAAGATACCCACGAATTAATCGTATTACTCGTTTCAATTCGAGAGCTTTATTGTTGGATTAACTGGTTTATTTCTCTTGCTCTTCGCGGCTGACTCTCAAGGTACCTGAAATTGTTATGAGATTAATTTTTCAAAAATGAGAGGGAGTTTTGACCTATGTCAGTTATGTTTTTGCGTCCAAGCGCAGTATTGTAGGGTTTCTGAGTTACAGGTCATTAAAAATGATCTTGGTGATGATTTTTATCGATCAGTAGGAGCGTTTGTCAACACTTTTGAGTCTTGTTGCCGATCTGTTTTTTGTTTTCAAGTTAAAATTGCGTTATTGATGCTTTATATGGCTGATAACATCTGCAGCTTTGCTTTAGTTGTTGAAATGATTTGCTCTACTGTTACTGACAATGGACCGTGAACTTTTCACGACAAGCATTTGGTTTACCTTCTTTCAAACCTTCCCGGGCCGGCTTGAACGTGACGTTACGATGGCCGGAAACATCGGATTTTCATTCGCTAATATCTGCTCTAGTGACCAGGTCTTAGTTTATGACTCCCTCCTGCCTCGACTCGAATTTTTTTTCGGGTTTGTAGTCATGACATTTCTTAGTATTTTTTCGTTCGTGAACATATATTTTGGAAATCTTGACTCATGTTTTTTATTGTATTCGCTGTACTTTACAAGTTTCGACTTACGTATTTTGTTTTCAACATGTTTTTACCATCGGTATAATTTTGTCCGCTACGGAACGCCATGCATATCTGTGCATTAGTATTTATCATTGAAGTTTAAGCTTAATTACGCATAGTCATTAGAAAACATACCTTTCTGCAATAATCCAGTTGAGTTAACTGACTTGGAAACATACTTTATGTGAACACAAACTTAGCAATTGATCACATTGTCTCGAAAATAACATGGATAATAGAAAGACAGTCTTGCGAAAATACTGTCTGCGTGAATTTGAACTATTCAACGGAAGTTCATTTCACACTTGTCTATTGGTTCAAAAGCCGCACGGGACAATGTAATTCAAATCGCGTATGTGCGAAAGTCACGGGAATAACAAACATGGCGGCTAATCGAGAACGTGCTTCGGCGTTTGGGACGAAAGAGTGGTTATTTTCAGCGTTGATTCAAATATTCTAACGCATTTGAAGTGTTAAATGCAAGAGGTAAACTTAACATGCATTGTTTTTTTTTAAGTTGTGAAGGAAAATGCTGGACTACATTATAAATCAAAGTTGCGACGAAAAACGTGTTATGGACGTTGTTCATGTTGGACAAGCTCAAAGGTAAGGAAAATTGATTGAACTGAAGACACCTTGATCACACCAAGACCACGCCATTGCTTAGACATGAAATCTGAGTACAACTCAGGCATGATAGAATGAGAAGGACTTAAATCATTTACATAGCTTTTTTTTATAAAGATTCTGTACATCTGTTACTACAGCAGTGCTGTAGTAAGGAGTTTTCAGTATTTATTGTCAGCGGTTGTTACCATTTTGCTTAGGACTCGTGCTAGTTGCCGCCATGTTCTTGTTTATCACATGTGTGATTTAGGTTTACAATCCATGTAATCGTTCGCCCATCCGCATCGTGTAAGGCAGACTAAGTTGCTATCTGAAGAACTGAAAAGTTAGCGACTATCTGGAGATAAAGAAAAGATCTGACGATTTAAGTTTTTTTCTTGTGAATAACAACGAGACTCTTTCGGATGCCAAGTACGACTTTCGAGGGCAACCACAATAAAAACTTAATCGTCCTTGGTGAATCTTTGAACCACCGTAAAATCATCGCTGTCACAACAACAAGTTCATAACGAAAGCCGGACGACCTGCGGAGGATTTGAATGGATACCAAGTGGTGTAAACCTTTGTAGAAAGTTAGTTCTGATTGCCTTTGGTTTGGATTCAGTACTCGTCATGTCTCGAGAGCTGAGTGATTTTCCTGAGGCTTCAATGTCGGACGTTTTTGGTGAGGTTCCGCTTCAAATAATTGTTTGGATGATGTTTGCGAGAAGTCTTCGCCTTTAGTTGTTGATCTATCGGAGAATGCCGAAAACAAAGGATTTTTCCATGTGGAAAATGAACAGCATTCGTCGGAAGTTCGTATCAGGAAGCTAACCGAGAAGGGTCAATCCTATAATCAAAACGATATAAAGTTGAACTCTTTCAAGAATAAAATGTCAAGTTTTACGGGGACACTGAGAAAAACACTGTTGCTTCGGCGACATTGTAACGAATTATCAAAGTGGAAGCAAGAGCTTAGTAAGGCACAGGTTATGTGGAATGAATTTGTGGATGCATATAATGACATTTTAGAAACAGTTCAACAGGATGAGTTAGCGAAGGTCAGGGACATGTGGGAGCAAGTTTATGGTGAATGGTCTAATTTGAAAGGGATGTGAGGGATGAGATAAAGTATTTGGAACAAACAGTTTTGGAGTTTAATTCTGTAATTTCTAAGGGTTCAAAGAGGAGTAAAACAACCAAAAGTGTCAAGTCAAAATCAAGTTCAGACACTGTACTTTCAACTAAAGTAGATAAATATAAGCTTCTACAGGAAGAAACTGCATGAAGGTGAAGCTAGCCTATGTAGAACAAGAAAAGGCCCTAGAAATAGAAAGGTTAAAACAGGAGCAGAAACTGGAAGAATTCAAAGTTAAGAGGGAACTTGAACTTAGTAGAGCAAAGTTAAGTGTATGCAAAGATATTGATAATGAGCAAACACCCTCCCTTGAAGAAGATCTAGATAATCTTCCTAGTGAGAGGAAAGGCGAAGGAGTGAAAAGATTCTGGCAATCTCTAACAGTAACTACCCGTGCAAATGAGAATAATACATCAGTTCAGTCCCAAGTACATGTATCCCAAACACCTGTTTTGACAACAACATCCACACCAAAGACTAAAACATGTGGTTTGCGGGCTTCTGCTCCATCATTCTCACCGGGAGCCGTAACACAGTCAGTATTTACTGTTCGTCATTTTGAACCTGAACTTGGTCTTCCCATTCAAACAGAAGCAGCTTGTACACAAGCTTTCTCGTCGGCAAAAACTGATCCTGTTGTAACTAACTCCATATGTGGTCCATCACCAATTATGTCAGCAGTTATGAATTCCCCTTCAAGTTACCAGTTTGTTCATCCTCAAGGTCAAGCAGCAAAGAAGGCAAACATCCCAGAGTTAGAGGGCCTCGCTGCATCAAGTAGTCCTAGATTTAACAGAAATCCGAAGCGGAAACCAGATAATGAGAATGGTGGTTCTCTGTCTACATCAGCTAAGGGTGGTGGTGATGGTAACGATAAATCAGACCCCACTAATTCCAGTAAATCAAAGGACCCTGGTTCAAATGGTTTGAAGTGTCGAAGTGTCTATTTTCTGGTGCAAAGCACAAGTTAGATGACTGCACTGATTTCTGTAGAAAGCCTTTCAGTGAAAGGAGAGTTTTCTTCTTCCGCGAACGTTTGTGTATGGGTTGTGCAGCCAGTAAGAGTCATGAGGTAGCTAACTGCAAAGAGAGGTTGAAATGCAAAATTAAAACATGTTCAGGAACACATCCCTCATGCCTTCACAAGGAACTAACACAAGACAATGTTGCCATCTCAAATTGTATGAGTGTATGTCTGATTCCTGAACAAAACGGTGGATTTGATCACACCATGATAGTACCAGTGTGGGTCAGGCCAGTGGGAGAGCCAGAGAAGGAAATCTTGCAGTATGCAGTCCTTGACGATCATTCAAATGTCAGTTTTGTGTCTGAGACTCTTTGTGAACGGTTCAATCTGCAAGGCCTATCAACCGAGCTTCTGTTGACAACAATGCAGCAGCAAAATGCCTGTATTAAAACTAAAAAGATATCTGGGCTAGAGATTCCGGATTACCATAGAGAAGGTGTAGTGGAGATGCCAGTGGCCTTCACCAGGGAACTTGTTTCAGCTAACCGGTCACAGATTCCAAAACCTGAAGTGGCTAGGGAATGGCAACATCTGAAGTCCATCGCCGATAAGTTGACACCGTACCACCCAGATGCAGAAATTTCTATCCTGATTGGAAACAACTGCCCACAAGCTATCCGACCCAGGGAAATAGTTGCCGGTGAAGGTGACGAGCCTTACGCTCAGAGGACTATACTTGGTTGGGGAGTGATTGGAAGAGTCTGCAAATCAAGTGATGCTGAAAACACAAACAAGAGTGTGTAATAGAGTTGCAGCTTCAGAAATTCGTAGCCAGTTTGCATTCGCCACGAAGGCTAAAGAGATTATTGGCCCAGAGAAAGTTCTCCGTGTGTTAGAAACTGACTTTGTTCAGACAAGTCCTAAGTAAAAACCTTATTCTATGGAAGATGAGAGATTTCTTAGGATTCTCGAGGACGGAGTAAAGAAACAAACGGATAGATGTTACGTGATGCCACTTCCCTTGAAATCAGACAGTGTGTGTCTTCCCAACAGCCGCGAGCTTGCTGTAAAGAGGTGGAACCAACTGAATGCCAGATTCAACAAGAATCCGAAGTTCTTTGCAGACTACCAGACCTTTATGAAGGACATAATTTTACAATGTGCAGAGGAAGTTCCTGTAGATCGTCTTAAAGGTTCAAGATGGTAAAGTCAATTACGTACCGCATACAGGTGTCTACCATCCAAAGAAACCAGGGCAGATAAGGGTGGTGTTTGACTGTTCGGCCCAGTTTAACGTAGTCAGCCTCAATGACTACTTGATGCCAGATCCTGACTTTATGAACGATCTGTTGGGTATCTTGTGTCGTTTTCGCAAGGAAAGCGTTGCATTCACGACGGACATCAAAAGCATGTTCCATTAGTTCGTGGTTGGCGAAGAACACAGAGATCTGTTACGTTTTCTTTGGTGGTTGGATGGGGATCCCTCAAAGGACGTAATCGACTATCGTATGAAAGTTCACCTGTTTGGTGCCAGCAGTTCCCCAGGTTGCGCGAACTTTGGGCTTAGGCGAGCCGCTGACGATGGCGAAGAAGAATTTGGTACAGATGCTGCGTCGTACATTCGCAAGAACTTCAAGAAAGGACTAAAATCAGTATCAACGGTACCCGAAGCCATCCAGTTAATCAAGGCCAGTCAAGCAATTTGTAGCAAGGCTTGTCTCAGATTACACAAGATAGTCTCGAACAAGATAGAAGTTCTTGAAGCCTTTCCGGTTGATGACCATTCAAAGGAAATAAAGGAACTGAACTTAGCTGCAGATCCATTACCTATTGAAAGAGTTCGGGCGTGATGCGGTGCGCGGAAAGTGACAGTTTCCGGTTCCGGATTGAAATTCATGATCGCCCTTTGACTTGAAGAGGTGTATTGTCTACTATTGGCTCCATTTATGATCCTAATGGGTACCTGGCCCCTGTTACTTTCAGAGGTAAACAGATTCTCCAGCAGATGTGCAAAGACAAGCTGGATTGGGATAGGCCTGTTCCAGAGTATCTACACCCACAGTGGGAAAAGTGGCAGCGAGAAATCGTACAGTTGAAGAAACTGGAGATACAGCGATGTTTCAAGCCAGACAACTTTGGCCCAGTGAAAGCAGTGGAGGTCCACTATTTTTCAGACGCTTCAATGGAAGGTTATGGTCAATGCTGTTATGTAAGATTGATTAACGAACTCGATCAAGCTCATTGTTCCTTCATCGTCGGAAAATCCAGGGTAACCCCCCTTAAACACAAGACTATTCCAAGGCTGGAGTTAGCTTCTGCTACCTCCTCTGCAAGAGTGAGTCAATTTGTGAGAAATGAGTTGAAGTACCCGGAGATGGAAGAATTCTTCTGGATAGATAGCCGAGTAGTTCTCGGATACATTAACAATGAAGCCAAGAGGTTTCACGTTTATGTTGCTAACAGAGTGCAACAAATCCGGGACCTAACCGATCCTAACGCATGGTTTTACGTAGACACAAACAACAACCCCGAAGACGATGCATCAAGAGGACTCACCGCAAAGCAGCTGGTTGAAGTATCTCTTTGGTTAACTGGTCCAGAATTCTTGTGGCGAAGCGGACCCTGTGAACCAGAAAACGTGGAGCTGCCTCTCCATCAAGACTCTGACCCGGAGGTGAAGAAATTGTCTGTTTTGACCACGAAGGTCAGAAGTGTTGCTCCATTTCCAGATCAATTTGAAATAAGCAGACTAGATGGTGTATCTAGCTGGTACCGTGCTATAAAGGTCATAGCTCTATGCTTACGTCTGAAGTCCAAGCTTCAAAGATGAGAAATTAAGAAACCCGAGAGTCCAGTAACAAGGTCAAGTACAAAAGTTGAGTAGTCAATACTGAGAGTTACACTTCCAGAGCTTCAGGATGCAGAGAAGACCATCATCAGATGTTTTCAGTACGAACATTTCCGTGAGGAACTTCAAATTCTCTGCGACCTAAATGTAACCGACGGAGAGACAAACAGAAACCAAGCCAGAAAGAGGAACCGAGCGTTACGAAAGACCAGTTCGCTGTACAAACTGGATCCGTTTGTGGACCATGGTGGAATAATTCGTGTTGTTGGTCGTATCAGAAGAGCAGATACACCAGTTGATCTGAAGCATCCGGTCATTATTCAGCGAAAAGGACACTTAACTGAACTGTTGATTCAACATCACCATCTCAAAGTGAACCATATGGGTCGTTGTATGACGCATAAGTGAGTTGCGCAATGTGGCTATTGGTTGATCAATGGTTAATCAAAAGTAGCGAGGTTCATATCGAGTTGTGTGACATGTAGATGACTGCATAGGGCCACCGAGCAGCAGAAGATGGCTTGCCTTCCTAACGACAGACTTGAACCAGCTCCTCCTTTTTCGTTTTGTGCCGTTGATTACTTTGGACCGTTCATTGTCAAAGAGAGAAGAAGTGAAGTTAAACGCTATGGAGTATTGTTTACATGTATGGGGTCACGAAGTGTTCATCTATATTAGAGACTGCCAATTCATTGGAGAGTTCTTCCTTTATCAATGCATTGAGACGTTTCATGAATCGGAGAGGTGCTGTGAGACAACTGAGGTCCGACCAAGGGACAAATTTCATTGGTGCACGAAGTGAACGGAAAGCAGCATTATGTGAGATGAATCAAGATCATGTTCAAGGCTATATGCTAAGGAATGGATGCGAGTGGATTACATTCAAGTTGAACGTACCCAATTCTAGTCACATGGGCGGGACATGGGAACGTATGATTCTTAGTGTACGCAGTGCACTTGAACCACTACTGTTACAAGCTGGCAGCCAACTTGATGATGAGACATTGCGAACACTCTTGACAGAAGTCGAGTGCATTACTAATTCAAGACCCCTCAGCGTCGATAACTTAGGTGATGCAGAAGTGCCAGAGCCGTTGACTCCTAACCATCTTCTTACTATGAACCTAAAAGAGTGCTACCTTCCCCAGGAAAGTTTCAAAGAGCCGATATGTATTGTCGCAGACGTTGGAGAAGAGTTCAGTATCTTGCAAATGAATTCTGCCTGAGATGACGGGAAGAGTATCTTCAAATGTTATAAGTCAGGCAAAAGTGGGTCCAGCCTAAGAGAAACCTTGCTGTTGGTGATATAGTGATATAGTCATCTCTAAGGAAAGTGAAAGCACGCGCAACAAGTGGCCACTTGGCAAAGTAGTGCAGGTGTACCCAAGTGACGACACATATGTCAGAAAGGTCAGATTACTGATGGCAGACGGAAATTTGGATGATAGTGGCAAACGCTAACGCCCACCATCATATTTAGACAGACCTATACACAAGCTCGTTCTATTGTTGACTGCAGATGAAGTGTTCTAGGAAGATGTGACCAGGGAAGTCCCCATCGAGGAGCCACCAAAGAACAATTGAAAGAGGTTGCAAAGGTTTTATTGTCAACGAACATTGTAGAGAACACTTGATTACGATTAACCCATTTAACATTCATTCGCTGTTACCGATCAGTGACTTGAGCTTTCGAGATTCTACTGTTTGAGTATCGAACTGATCGTTTGTTGAACGTTTAGCCTTAGGGACTCATGTAGGTTTATAATAACGAAACTCCTTCGGATGCCAAGTACGACTTTCGAGGGCAGCCACAACATCTAACAATAATCATGCAACGGTTTAGTCTGGTGTCAAATTTAGGAACAATTATATTCATGTTCAAGTGTGATGTTATAATGTTGAAGTTGCTACATTGATAATTGGCTGTAGAACCATAATATTATCATAATTTATTTTACTAGACACCATCAAGGCAATTTTTAAGATTATAACTTCAAAGACAGTTTAATCGAGCCCACAGAGTTTTGTTAAGGTGATCACTGGTCACTACTACAGACACTGGTACTGACTTGGTTTGTCTGTGAAGCTCATATATGACTGCTTTGTAGATTTTTTGTCAGTTATATGTGGAAACTGACAATGTGCCATTCTTTGTGAGAAAATAGCAGTTGTAAAGCATTGAAAGCAAAGAGTGTCCTTCATGGTACAACATGGCCAAAGATTCTGAGGTTTAATGTTGCAGTCACTTAATGTTATACAGTATTTTTATATATTTTGGGGTGTGATTCTATCTAGGGAACTGATTTCTTAAAATTTTCATGGCCCATGAAATCATTGTATATGGTTTCATGGCCCAACATGGCACATATTTAATGGTATATTCATTACCTATGAAATCGATATTATCGATATTTTTGATGACCCCTGAAATCTCTGAGTGTAATTTCCATGGCCCATGGAATCTATAACACACCAACGTTTCATGGCTCGTGAACCCTAGTGCCAGATATTTCATGGCAATTTCATGAGCCATGAAACCCATTACCAACTTTTCATAGAAAATTCATGGCCTGAAAAATAGGCCATGAAAATGATATATCTGTATTCAGGGCCCTTAAAAATG